GATCGATTCTTGCAAAACCAACTTGGATGATGAAAGAACTAATTTCATAATTACTAGTGAAATTATCTGTCAAAAGCTATAAATATCACTATTGCATTCCTACTAAGTTGATTTAATTAAACTGCTCGGCTTTTTAACCAAGTGTCATTTCTCTTTTTACTCTGAAAACGATTTTTTTCTTCAATCCGTAACCCGTATGACAGCCCATTTTCTTTGGACATTTTTCTTTTTCCTGCGGGATTTTTCATCAATCACAAACACGTTGGACACAAAATTAGGGTAAGCATATAGGAACATTCAACCTCTTCCTCAATGCCAATGGTCGATATTTATAGATAAAACAATACTTGGCACTATTTTCTCTTTTCCTAAGATTGTTGGGAAGGGAAGTGAGATTGACAGAACGGCTAGCGTATGCGCAATTTATGTCTATATAATAACTGTGTGGAAGGATCAGAAGTAGCTGACAAAACATTACTAGTTGTTGTCTATGGGTTACTTGAGTAATTTCAGGGAGAAAAATCCTTGAAAATATGTTAGTATCCGCACATTTAAGGTGCGTGATCTTTGGCTTCAAGCACACCGGAAGAGATGTGTAGGTGTTTAATATGACACGCACGATCGAAACACTTATTTTTGGAAGTACTCTTTGAAAGTTTGACTGAAAACTCTCAGAGATTTTTTAATTATCCAGATTAAAAATGGATGCAATGGTAATTTTATAAACATTATAGTTTCCTTTCATGGTTGTCCTCTATTTTAAAATGTGATTTAAATGAATGAAAAAAACTCCCTGTAAATTACCCAATTTAGTAAACTTGCACGTACAAGAGAAACTGCCAATGACGTAATCCCTTGACGTCATCGTTACATCAATAAATTGCATCTTGATTGGTTTGTCCTTGAGTTTTCTCTGAAGATGATTGGTTTAAGACTTGATTAAAACCTGTTTTTCCAGTTTGACTGGCTAGGTGTTTCTCTACGTAACCGAAACGTTTGTAGAGTTGGTTAGTGTTTGGGGCCTCGTCGGTCGATAAGGAGAGTAAGTGTGGTGGTCGTTCGTACTTTTGCTCTTACATTGATTATTACTTTACCTTAACCTTACCAAGCCTAAAGATTTACCTGATTATTTCTTCGCGAGAAAGTTTTCAACCAGAGAGACGTCTTTGTAGTCGATTTCTCGGGTTGTAGTCAAGAGCGTCGATTATCAACGAGTTCTTGTTCAAGCATTCACTAACTTTGTGTCGCTGCTAGAATTTGTTACCTTCGAAGATTCCGTCTCATTCACGTAAATTCGGATTGAGAGGGACAACTTTTTGTATCGGGAAGGTCTTAAGGAAGAAAGGAAGTGAATATCAAGAAGTATAAGACAGAAGAAACGAGTAGATCAGTTCGAAAGACGGTTGAATTGGCCGCAATCTTTTCAGCGTTGTTCCGTTACCTTCTTGGGAGAGTCAGAAACTAAACATTTTTACTGTTTTCCTTGCGGGCATAGCATGCACAGCCGTCCTATTGTCAAGACTAAACGTAACAAACACTCCGTGTACTCAGACAGAGAATTATGGTCACTGTTAACGACATCTTTGGAGAAAAAGAAAGCAAACAAAAGGAAACGGGATCCAGACATGTTACGAAACGCCGTGTTGGAGTTGACTGTACAAAAACTAAACGAAGAAATCACGGAAAGATGTATGAAAAAAGTAAAACGTCGAAAACTGGAGGATTCTTACGAATGGCAAGAATCTCCACACGGACTTGGATGGAACATGACAGCATCTTACCAAGATGATGATGATCTTTTAGGTATCGACGACTTCTTTCAGAAATTAAGTACTAGCTGCAAAACTCGAAACAACACGTCTACCGTCTCTGAGACGTGATATCTCGCTGTATGAAATGGCTGGGAAAGCCAGTGAAAGCCCATCAAAGGAAAGGAAATTTAGGAAATCTTGAGTGGTCGTTGTAATTTCTAAAACTGTTGTGTTCTTAAAATTTTGGGTGATATGCAGGTTCCCCCTTGGTTAAAAAAAGGAAAACAAAATTTTTATATGTAAAGAGTATTTGCAAATTTTTTGTACATTTGATACGTGGTTAAAAAGAAACTTTTTTACTGTAAATATTTATTTCAAATTTGTAAAATAAATTTTTGAGAATACATAAGAGTTTGGGGTTTGAAAATTTGTTGCTTATTTGTTGATTGCTTTCACAGTCACAGGTTGAACTTGATGTTCCATCATAACATCTGTTGTCTAAAGTACATCTAAAGCTTCTGGGAGAAGGTATATTTAGAATTGTGGAATACTTAAGGTCAAAGTTCTAAGTTCATAGAGAGTGCTGTAGAATTAAAACTTAAAGTAAAATTAATCAAAATTAGCTTAGTGCCAAAAAAGAAACCAGCTGTAATCTTGTGCCTAAGTTTGATTTGGGAAAGGCTCTGTTGAAGGTGGCAAATATTTTAAAAATAATTGTGCCACAAATGAAGAGGACTAATTGTTTTAGATGAGTGATTTTAAATGTAGTCATTTCTCTTGAAGCCTTGTGCAACACTGATGGTCACATGCTGTTTCAAGTGAGGAAAAGGAGAAATCAGTGGTGTGTATGAAGACAGCTGAAGTCACTGGTAAATGCCATGCGTTTGCCTGTTTGTTCATTTGAATGTCTGTGGATGGCCTCAGAAATGCCTTTTTGTCAAGCCTCAAACAGAGAAGCTGAAATAATTGTTTTTGTAAACTCTTTAGTTCAGCTGCTTACCTTCTGGAAATGCATTGGAGGACAAGTAAAAATGGCAAACCTCAAGGCTTGTTCTTTAGTGATAATGTAATTTACATAGTTAGCTATAGATGCTAATATATGAAAGGCAATAGTGAGAAATGAGGATTAAACATCATCGAATTGGAGGTGGAAGTAATGATGCCTAGCCCATGCAACCAAAAATAGCTTTTACTTACATTAATTTGACACTGCTGCATACAAGTTCTTTTTGTAATATTTTAACTGTAGTTATGTTAGGGTTTGCGACAGTTGTTCCTTTCATTTGATCTTAAGTGGTGCCAAGAAACTGGCAAGCAAGTCCAATTGAAGCTACCAGACCTTGCAAAGGGGAAAAAGCAAGAATGTTAAGTACAGCTGTAGAGATCATAACATCATAAACTTTTAGTCATGGTTAAAGGAAGCATTGACAGGTCTCCTTCCTCCTTATGCATGGTGTAACTATGTTAGTCTTGGAAATGGGCTATGGAACTTGTGTAGATGTTATACGATTCAACACCTAAAGAGTACTTTTGAACTTGTGGAGTGGAAGCTCGGAGCCAGGAATAAGTAATTATCATGTTGCCCTCTGAATGAGTATACAGACACCACACTTTCTTGTTTCATCACTATGAAGCCTGTTGAATCTGAGATCAGTGTGTGCGTTTAGGTGGATATCGTGTTGCAAAGTGTTTTGCAGGCATTTCAATTATCCACAGTTCAGGAACTGGAATCAGAACATCAGGTATTTCTTTTATTCAATCGTCTTTCATGCGATTCCGTTCATTTGATATTCACATCAGAACAACACAAGCGTGCATTTTTGTAATTATAGTAGTGTGTTAGGAAGGGTGGTTTGTTTGTTTTCCTATTATTATGCAGTCAAAGTAGACTTGGCAATCCAAGCCTGAGAGAATGATCCCAGAGGGTCATCAGGAATTGGTAAACAACTGGCATTTTGATGGAAGCTGGATTCAAGCAATGTAAGCTGACATGAATGAATTAATCACACTTCATGCTTAAGATTAGTATGAGCAATGTACCTGGTTTGCAACTTCAGCAGCAAAACATCTATCATGGACAGATTAAGCATATCCCTGGGGTTATGTATGGTGATCAGTGATAATAAAGTTTACCAAGGATTGTATTGGTCATTCAACCTAAAACAAAAATTGAACATCACTTCATTTCTTCGTGGTTCTTGGCTTCTTGTCATTTATATTGTTATTCTCCTCATCACTTCCTTCTAAGTCAGCTTTGCGTTGTATGAAAGCATCACCAGTGCATTTTAACAGAGAGAGAGGGACATTCAATTTCCATCCCAGACAACATAACTTGACTTTTTAATATAGGATGTCACACATGATGCATTAGACCTGTAATGTATGACCTGACTGCACACAAATTTGACCCAAAGAAAGATAAAGTAGCATCAGCAGAGAAAGTGAGGGCTAACCCATTAGTCTTTTCCCTGAAGATCTTAAAACCATCTCCCCTGTGGTTGGGACTTCATGATATTAAATGCCAGCAGTACTCCAGCATTGGCTTTGCTAACAGCGTAGAAATTGCAACTCCCAATCAATGGTGATAGCAAGTGAGCAGTTTACCTAGTTTGAATACTGACACCTGGAAAATTCTGTAGTAGAAGGTGGGATATTTGAATGGCCCAAAGTATGCATGCTTTGAAGCTTTTTCAGCTAGTGGGCAAGAAAGCGGCGCTGGAATAGTGATGTAGAATCATTACCTATGGAGTAAGAAAATTCATTGTTAGCAGTTCTTGTGATGCTCTTGGCTTGATACATATGGCAAAGGTAACTAAATTTATAATCAAATGAACTACCTTGAGCATGGTAAGCAAATATTTGAAGATTGGTCGTGCAACTTGTGCCCTCCAAGTAAGCGAGCAACTAGCTATGCAGGAGAGTGACTTATAAGAATTCCACAAGAGCAGTTTTCAGCCCTCCCCTATCTACAAAGTGAGGTCAATGGGGACTTGTTCATTGTTTCGATTGGTATTGGACTGGCAAATAATAGGTTACACTAGTACTCTTTTAAATGGGGTTAAACCGATTTTGATGTCGGGCATGGCTTTGTCTTGGTTAGGACATGTTCAAGTTTCTGTAATAGCAGCCACCATGATCTTTGCAGTCACCTCAGATTCATCCTTTCATGATAAAAGGACTTAAATGAGAGAACAGAGATCCAGAAAATCACTTAAAAGACCATTTCCACCCAGCTAGAATTTCTCTTCATTCACTTAGAAAGTCGTCATTGCACCAGGCAAGATCGCGAGAGTGCAGTGTGTTTATAGCTCCCTCGTCAGAGTCAAGTGTAAGCAGATGGACTAAGGAGCAGTTGGCTATCCTTCAATTATCCTTAAATTAGGTTGTTGAGCCCTACAAAAAATTAATGAAGAACTGATCACTCATGAAGCAACATTGGTAAATGCATCCATCTCGGGAACCCCACTCTGCCAAAAGTCAGTTTCCTTACCAATGAGAATACAGCAACAGGTATAAATTTCAAACCATCCCCCGATTCTTTGCCTGCCAGGCAAATGGTATGGTAGTAGTTGGCTATTTTCTTCACTCCTTAGAAATGATCACCACCAAGGTTATCAACATGTACAGTGAGTCACAAGTTAGAGCTAGAGGATATTGGTTTCCAAATGTGTGTAGTTTTGTCAACAGAATTAGCTTCCAATTCAAGAAATTTGGCAAAAGTTGTCTTATCCCTATTTGACCAAAGGAAATCATAATGGCCTTTCACCTGTGGGCGGCTCTTCCCCAGAATATTTTGATAGGATGTGCTAGCTGGCAGCAGCTACTTTCCTCAGTCCATGGCTCTAACTGCGCTATTAAATGGCTACTTAAGAAAGCAACCTGCAATTTAAAGAGAGGTGAAGCAGCAAGTAACCTGTGGAAAATAAGGGATGAAATTTATTGGGAAGTCAGATTGGTTGGAACAAGACTAATCTTCAAAAGTAATCTACCAGAGCAAATAGATTCAAAGAAATAAGAACTTTCTCATCAAATTGATGGCCTGAGCGACTTAGGAGGTAATATCATTTATGAATGCATTTTCCTGTTCTTGCTTGCTTGTTTCTGTTTTGTCTTTGTTTCTGAGAAACAGTGGTGATGACAGGCTTGACTATTAAATTGAAAGTTAGCAAACCTATTAGGGGACACCTCAGCATCACTAAAACTGCCAAAGAGTAAATTTGTTTGATCCATTGGTGCCAGTGATGACAACACAACTGTGGCACAGAAATCCAAAAGTACTAAGCCCTTCCCAAAAGTTGCCTGAAGTTTTTCCTGTTTCTTTGGGTACCTGGCACTGCGAGTCCATGCAGTTCGATGGGAGTTAGAGAGGATTAATCATTCTGTACCTGTAAAGATGAACAATCAAAGAATAGCCTGTTGGCAAATTGGGTGACCTGTTCAGTCTAGCAAGTAGTTTTTGCATCAATTTTTAAGTTTCTTTTCCTTGTGTGATAAGCAAATGCATGTATGCCCTGAGATAGTTTTTTTTCAGGAAGGCAAATGCTTCTAATTCTGAGCTAGGTCGTAGCACCAAAGTGACATTCATTAAAGTTCTTGGAAGAGTGATAGTAATCAAGAGGAGTTACCTCTGCACAGCAGGAAGAACCATTCATGCAAAATTACGAAATCCCTATTTAGCGTTGCCCTATGACATGCCATCCAAAGTTTTCAGACAGTGGAAGTTGTAGGATGAAACAAGCTCATTCTTTGGATTATCTCAATACTAAGGAAAAAGCATATGTGGGTATTATTTACATTCTCAATTTTTGTCAAGGATGCGTTCAAGATAGTCAATTTTTTTTAAAGCTATTGTGTTGCTTGCTTTTTTTTTTTCTTGTTTGTTCTGCATTCGGTTTCAGCAGTTTTATGGAGGTAGCTAAGCTATCTTCCTTGAGCAGTGGTTTATTTTTATGCCCTTGTGGAAGACTTAATTGCACTTGGCAACTTCTCAAGGCATCATTCCAGCTTTTTATGAAGTGTGGTAAAGTTCCAAGGTTTACTATCACCTTCAGATGTAAATTGGCAGGCAAACCCAACCAATTTGGACATTTCACCACTTGTGAGATATTCAGAATAAGCTTACAGCATATCATTAGGACTGGTCTGTATGGGTCTGGCTTCAGATGAACTTAGCTGAGTGAATCCTGCGAAAAAGATAAGAGGTACCATGACTGCTTGGTTGAGAACTTGATCACTGATGGTAGTTTAAGGCAACCCGATTCAATCTTCCACTGAGTTACACAGAATAAACAGAAACACTTTGTACCTTTCAATTGACATGAGCAGCCCAAATTGTGTGGTAAGGAAATATTTCAAACAAGTATGCATGGACTTAGTTATATTTGGATCTTTGTCAAGTGTCTTTTCAGAATACACTCTGTATAGTGGCAGTTTCTTGGAATAGCATTTCTCTCCAAATTGAGCAAGACTTCATAGCATCCAGCAGCTTTCCCTGCCCCTTTAGAAACCTTTAAAAAATGTGCCGAGTGTTAAAGAACACCCCTTACCAAGATGCATTCCAAAAGCACTAGTGTCAAATAAGAGTTTGGTGCAGTTTCAAAGGTGCAAGCGTGGAGGTATTAAACGTCCTTCAACTTAAGATGCCAAGTTTTCAGCCTCACCACATGGCTTACAACTTGCATTATTGGTGGACTCGTTACTAAATCGATAGAACAAGGACAACTTTCAGAGAAATCCATGAGTCAGAAAGGCATGTCTTTTCAGGATCCAATGTAAACACATGCTGTGATTCTTCCCAAGTGAGTTTTGTTTTAATGGCTAGCTTGTCAGGTTTTTTGTAGTTTTTGTACATGATTTGAACTTTAAGTAAGGTTGTTAGGAAGATGTGTTTAGTGCTATCACCAGCAGATTTTCAGGACTGTTTGTGTTCCCAATGCGAGTCCAGAGTGGAAATGGCAGGCAATCACTGAGTGACCTTGCAGAATTTGACAATCACCATAAAGGCAATTTCAGTGGTTCACCAAGATGACCTTAAAAAAAGAAGCAAATAGATTGTTAGAAGTTGCAACTTCGTCCCAAATGCTAGGTCAAGTTAACCAATTGGAAAACCTTTGTTCTTTTGGTCCCAAAAACAGCGAGACTACTTGTGTAATGTTGCTGATAACGATGGTGCAGATAATCTGGTAAGGGAAATCTTCCTGTTCAACCATATGTGAGCATGTATTTTCTGTGAATTTTTTCTTCTCTGAAGAGTCTTTTTTTTCAGTGGTGAATCGATGGTGAACCCAGTTATTTCACCAGCAGCTATTTCTTGGACTAGCATTCTACTACACTCCGAGTGATATTATGTAGCAGCCATAGCTTTCTGCCTGTTTTAAAAAGTATCCAAGTTCCTTTGTGCCAAAGTAGCATCATCGTGGTAATATCCAGTCCAGTTTAGTGATAAAAGTAGCCTCCTAGATCCTTTCAAGACTTTACCCGACCTGTGTGAGTGGGGGGGCCAAGTGCTGTGTCATTCAAGTGTAGCTGTATGTGCAGTGTCTTGGAGAGCTATGCCCCTCTTGTGTATCTGTGTGCCTGCACATCACCTCTAGCAGTTTAAAGATAGCATGAAAACAGTCATGGACAGCATCTCTCCAAATTGATCAAAGACTTTCTTGTCATTCTTGGAAAACAACCAGTATTTTGGACCTATGTTCTGATCCATTCCTAAAATATGACTTCCTCTGTGCATGTTGTGTAGTCCAATGTATTGTGCTACCTGCCTTTGCTTGGTTAAAGTGTGTATTGCTTCAAGAAAGAGTGTCTGTTCAACTAACACCAGTCCATTCTCAGACAAACTGTTAAGATGAACATTTTTAAAAATCTGGTGATTTTTCACACCATCAAAATCTGTGATTGTCTGATTCACATGGGCAGTCCCAAGTCCTCATCACTAAGTCTCGAAGTACGCTGGTTGTGGTTTAGTCAGGGAGGTGCAATTCATATTTGAATCCTCTCTTGGTGGGTAAAGATTCTCTCAGAGGGTTTAAGTAAAGGTTAGTTTGAGCCCTTTTTGGTTCATGTGTTGTCCCAGTAACTAGATATTTTGTATTTTTTAATTATGTAACTTATGGAGAAAGAAATACTTGGGCTTAACTGTCTCTCTCAAAAATTGTTTCTAAGGTATTTTGATCAAGTGACTTTGTTGATGAGATTGAAATGAAGTTTAAGCTTAGATGTGTCATCAAAACCAGTGCATACTTTGTAAGACCTTACAGATATTGAGCTTCACCAAGTAACAGCTTTTTGGCTTTGGCAAGTATTTGTTATGGAAAGTTGCCTTTCTTAGTTGTTGTTGTGAAAACTCTGCTTTGTTGTTGTGAAAACTCTGCTTTGTATGCCTGAACTATTAGTAATACTGGGTAAAACAATTTTGATTAGTTACCATTGTACATATTTGACTTTAATTTACTTTCAGTGTAGATTTTGTGCAATCGATTGTTGCACATCTTAGATAAAGGTTTTAATGTTGAAGTACTATCCATTTAGAATTACTTGCCTTAAAAATGCATTTTTGGCTATTGCCAACAAATACTCTTATCTGTAAAATGAGAACTGTGTTGAGCATTGTCTGCATTTGGGGGGATGCATTTGTTCTCTTTTCATTGTAACCAGGCAAATGTAACATTTTTTTCGGATGGAATGTCAAGTGTGAAAAAGGCAAGCTTAACTTTGTGATGTTTTGTTTCAGTGTACAGGCAATTTTTTCTAATGTAACATGTATGTTGCTAGTGGTAGTTTGTAAATAACTTATGCCAAGTAATTTTGTTTTGGTTTCCTATGACTGAAAGTCTTCATTAGATCGCAATACTTTTGTTATGTAATCTAGGATTTGTTTTGTGCAAACAGTGCATATTTTTGTCAACCTCTATAGTTATTAAGGTTGCTTATGCAGTAGATGAAGCTCGTCTTCACTCATTCGGTCTGCAAGCAGAAGTGTCCAGGGATATTTTCACCGGATTGCAGTCAAGGCTTAATCAAAATTTTCTGCTTTGAATTGCAAGTTGTCAACATGAAGCAATCATTTGGTTGATACAGGTATTGATTTGAACTGTTTCCTTTTGAATAGTTTGCCTTTGAGATGTTTTGCATACTCTGATCAATTCACAGTGATTTCTGTCTGGATCAACACTGTTAACCAGCTCAATTTTGCCTGAAAATATTTGGCCTTAACTTGCTGTTTGGTATAGGTCAGTTCAGTATTTTATTTGGCTCAAAATTGTTATGCAGAAATCTGTGCATATATCCTCTCCACACAGCATTGTGATCTTATTAGAAATAGTTGGCCTTCAAATGCATTCTCTTCATTGAGTTGATACAGGTATTGATATGACCATTTTGCATCTGGTTTTATTTTCTTTGAGATGCATTGCATACTCTGATCACTTCACAGTGATTACTGTTTGAATGTACAAGAACTCAACTAAATTTTGAAGTTTCATGGCCTTGCCTTGATGGATTGTGTGGGTCAGTGATTTGAGCGCAAAGTCGTCATCCAGAATCAATCCATTTAACCTCCAAGCAGTTTTGTAATTTCACTGGATGTAGTCATCCTTCAAGTAGAGCCTCTCCATTTGGTTTAGACAGGTATATGATTTACCTTTTGCTACCTGAAGTGTTTTTTCCTTGAAAAGTATTGCATATTTTGATCTTTTTACAGTGTTTTCTGTTGAATTTGCTACTCTTGACAGCTCAATGTGGTCTAAGATTTTAGGGCCTTATCTTTTTGGCTTGTGAATTGCTGATTTTAAATTGTTTGGTAGAAACCAGTGCATCTATCCTCTATACAGCATCTTAATCTCGTGGGATGCATTTGGCCTTTAATTGCGATCTTGTCGATGTGTAGAATCAGGTATTCACTCATCCTTTTGCCTTCTGAATTGTTTTCTTTGAAATGTCTGGCATACTCTGATCAATTCACAACATTTTCTGCCTGAATGTGGAACTGTGAGCACCCCAACTTGGTCTCTAAACTAATGGCCATGACATTTAAAGTTCATGTAGGTCAGTTTTACAGTTTGTCCAGTTTAAAACTGTTGTATAGAAGTCCGTGTATTCTATTTTACACAGCTTGATGTAACTTAAATGATCCTAGTTGAAATTTATGAGCATTTTGGACAAAGATTTTTCCATTCCATCTGTAAGCTTTCAGAAGCTGATTACCAGTAAGTCTTGTGATTGTCAGAAAAAAAACTCTTAGCAAACTGGATCCTAGAAGCAGAGGTACTGGTTCTTGTCTCTTTTTCTATTTCAATTTCAATATTTCTCTGGACACCATGTATATTGCATTAGTATCTTCAGTAGTTTGTCTTGGCAAGTTCAAGTCTGATCATGCAGCTCAACTGAAGTCATGAAGAAGGTACCAGTTCTTGTTTCTTTTTCAATTTCAATATTTCTCTGGACACCATGTATATTCCATTAGTATCTTCAGTAGTTTGGCTTGGCAAGCTCAATTTTGATCACGCAGCTCAACTCTGATCATGCAGCTCAACTCTGATCACGCAGCTCAACTCCGATCATGAAAAAGGTTCCTCCTTTGAGGTATTCTGGTGTGAATGATAATTTTTATCCAAATTGCATTTAATGCAGTGGATACTTATGTCAAGTCAGCAACATATTTGTTTGTGCAGTTCAACTCAAATGGTGAAACAGGTTCCTTTGAGATAATTCCGGAATGAATTTTCACTTCAAATTATTGGCAATGTGGTGGATGCTTTGCTTAATTGACAGCATTTTTGCTCGTTTGTGTATTGAAACATTGGCTAAATCTTGGTGCAGGCCTTCAAGGTATCAGGTACCAAAGTCAAGTTTGTTACTGTGTTTTGTCTGATATTGAAATTATTGTAGAAGAATGGTGTATTCCAATTAGTTCTACAGTGACAGTTAAACTGCAATAATTGGCTAAATCTTGGCAAACCTTCAAGAAAGCAGGTACCAAAGTTAAGTTTGTTTCTGTGTTTTGTCTGATTTAAACATTTTTGTGGAAGAACAGTGTATTCCAATTAGATCTACAGTCACTCTTGTACTGGGAATGAACTTCCATGTGTCCAGCAAAGAGGAAAAGGAATGAATCAAACCAAGGAATCAAAGTATTGTACAGTTAAATTTGAAACTACTTCTTGCTGCTATGGTTTTTCCTCCGGAAGTATTTTGTTAAGTCCAATTTGTGTGCGAGCCATGCATGTGTTGTTCTTTTCAACAGTGTTAAATTATCAGGTGGACAAAGTCCTAAAGTACAATTATTCCGTCTGCAAAAAGTGGTGTATTCTTTAGAGAAACTTTTTGATTGTGATAGCTTCCGGTCCTTGCCGAGAACTGACTGAAAAAGTACACAGATCCGAAACTGTTCTCCATGTGAAGGTCTGAGTTGACTGCTTAGTTGTCCAGTGCATTGTTCAAGTAAGATCCTGTTTTGATTTCCTCTTGGAATTCTTTTTTTGTGCAAACGTTGCGTATTATGTCAGTTTCCACAGCCTTGCTCCAACCTTTCTCTGGTCTGCATAGTAGGACAAGCTAAAATGGGCTGGCAGCATTTGCCTTGTTTCATTTCTAACAACAACTTTCCGTAGAGACTAATGGAATCTTGTGATTCCTGTGAATTCCAAGGTCTGGAACTCTGGAATACAGGTATCGGCCCTTAAATTTTTTTGATGTGAATTTTCAGCGCTGTAATTCAAGTAGATGTGGTGTGTATACTTTGTTCAATTTTTACAGCACTTTCATACACAAGATGGAATTTCACTATAGAAACTTGGACACCTTTGAGCAATTGCCTGGTGTGCACATTGTGTTGTAAGTCTGGAAAGTCAACAAGCTCTGTTTTGCTGTTAAATGCAAATTTTCAAGACATTTACAAGTCACTCTTGTGGCATTCATTGAAAATTTTTTATATGTGCAAATGTTGGATATTCTGTTAGATTTCACAGCTTTCTGGTAATTTTCACATCACTCCAAAACAAGGTGGATTGAAAGTTGCAAATTTCCCCCTGGCAGTCAGCTGCTTTCTAGTCTTTCTATTTACATCACTTCGGATAAACTCTGGTAAAATGGATCCCCAAAATACAGGTATTGGATCTTTATTTTTCCATCATAATGGCTTGATTTCAACTTTCGTGTCAACACCGTGTGTTCCATCAGCGTCTTGAGAAGTTTCTGTTTGGCAAGCTCCACTTCAGCTTGGGATCTACAAAGTAAGGCTTGATTGGAATCTCTTTTGCCATCACATTCAATTAGAAATGGTTTTGTGGGAAACTGTGTATATTTTGTAAGTCTCTGCAGCCCTCATGAACAACTCTCACTGGATGAAGGTTAGTTTTCTAATGCATATTTGTTTCCAGTTGGAAAGATATTGTGTATTTTTTTCCCAAGAGAAGTGCTCTTAATGGATCAAGACAAACAATCAGGTTAAACTTTTGCAGTTTTTTTTTCTCATATTGAAAGTCAGTTTGAAGTCTTTCTTGGTAGTCCATTTTTGTCGTTGTGCAGACAGTGTATACTTCATTCTCATCTTAACAGCGGTAAAGCTGAGTGGATTCAGGTCGGCTTCAGGTTGCATTTTTGACCTTGGAGAATTTCCATGTATCAGTTTCTTTCCTATTACTATTGTGTATTAGCTGTATTAATGTTAACGGCAAAACATGCATTTAAGGCAACATTAAATGATAGTGTGTATACTTCTATTATGACAGTTAATAGAGGAAGTTGTTGTCCTTGTACTCTATGTTGCTATCTCTTAACCAATTATGGATCATGTATGCAGCAGTGTCTATGCATGGGCAAAGCTTAATTAAGCAGTTAGATTAGTATATGTTGAAGTAGCAGTTAGATCATTATAGGATAGGGTCTCTGAGGTTGCAGATGTTACAGCAGACGTCACAGTGCAGAAGATGAGGATGATCTGCTTGAAAGCGGGTGAGTTGAACTCCGCAAGTCCCATACCTAGGAAGGCCAAAGAAGAGCTAAAAAGTAAGGCTAAATTACCTTTGCCACTTTTATTTTGGTAGGAACATTTAAAATTATAAGGACGTCATGGAATGAGTTACACTCGAGGCCTGGATCAGCGGATATTTGAGGTACTAAAAGAAAATTAGGAATCGTTTTTAATACTCTCTGAAATGTAATGCGATTTATTCCTTGCTATTCTAATTCAATATTTTTTCTCTCCTTAGATGTCTTCATGGAATGAAAATGAAGTGGAGATTCATCTGAAATTTTATTCAGTTTTAAATGTGCAAAATGTTTTAGATCGGTCTTTCATGGCATGCCTGGGTGTCAGCTGCTTGCATTGGGCCAGGACTATGTTTCCAGACTGTTTTTGTCCCACAGAGGGTTTTTTTAGTCTGGTTTTACGCAGCCGGCAGGCAGCACACAAAACAGATCTATATGTCAATCACTGTAAGAGTTGAATTACTTGATTTCATCTTGTCAGAGTTATTTTTGGATCATGTATGTCTAATAATTGGATTTTTTTTATGTTTGGATGCAACTTGGCATTTATTGACAATAAATTACTTTTGAATGATATCTTTTCTTATTTTTTCTTTTTTTAACATTTAATAGTGGGGGAAATAGAGGTAATTAAGAAACTTGACACCCAGCTTCCCAGGATAATGTTAAATTTTTCCTGATGAATGGAGCTGTTAAGAAGCCCATTACATGCTAAACGTTCTAGTCAATGTCCTTAGGCATGTTAACGTTGTTCAACCCCCTCAAGTTGATTTGTTGAAGTAAACTTGGCATTTGATACCAGTTTGTTCAGCTGTGAGGTGACGCATCAGCTGAAACTTTAGTACTCCTGGCTAGATACATCTCTCTTGATGGCCAGCTGTGCTAACTGAAGCACATGCCCTTTACCACATTTTGATGAAAACATCCTAAAATGCATCCCGATTTCTTGAGTAGAACCTTCTGACGAAACAATCTAGGTAAACTCTTGTCGTAATCACGGGGAAGCCAGGGGGCAAAGTTGCATCCTGTAGGAAGGAAAAGTTCGCTTTCCTTGCTAGGAGGGAAAAATTTCTATTCGCGGATTCTTTCGCACGCGCTACAGACTTGGCCAAAAGGTAGAGACTGCTTATAGTTTTGAGGTAGAGCGAAGAATTAAAACTACACCTATTAACTGGAAACTATGGGAAATGTAAAGTACGCGTGGTCAGTAAGCACACTGAAACGTTCTTTAGTGGTCAAGCTGCTTGGCTCTTACTGTCCAACTTTTTCTGGAGATACTTTTCTAAATCAAGCAGTGGAACAAAGCACAAACAGCAGTTCTTGATTGCTAAAGTAATTCTCCTTGTCAGAACTATAGAAAACGGGGGGAAATGTTGGAAGAACATACTAATATGCAGTGATATCACGGGTAAATTACCTCAAGGATAGAACATAAATTCCAAAATTAACAGTCAACAGAAATGATTATCATGTAAACAGCGATAATTTTTCAAGATAATTTTGGTTATATCAACTGAAATAGTTAATGTAACTGGGCCACCGTAGAGTTTCTCAACTGACGTCTCAAGCGCATTAGCCCTTTACCCTTCGCTCTGACAAAGGGCTTACGCTTGGAACGTCAGCTTCGCAACTATTTATGGTAGTCAACTTACAATCTCAACTCAGTTGATAAAACCAAAATTACCTTGTTATACTTCCCCACGATGCAACATAGTTTATTTAGAAACTTATCCCCTTGATTCAGTGACAAGTTTTGGTTTGTTCTCAAAGAACTCGTATATCTAATAGAGAGGGGTCAGACTGGTTTCCATGACTATTCTTTTATCGTGTAATAAACTTAAATCTTGATTTTGTTAAATATATCTATTTTAATGGTCACTAATTTTGTTCGTTAAATTGTATAGAGTTGAGAACAGCTGCAGACATGTAAAAGAACTATTGTCAGTTTTCTTGCATATCTTGATTGTCTTCTGTGACAACATGAAATTCATGCTCTTTAACTACTTCCTCTTCCTCACTTTCTTGTGCAGACTGTTCATCAGTCTGTTGGATGAGCCCCGACAGGTCCACTGTTAGGTGGGGTACTACCCCACCCTGTTCTTGTGCTGGCTCTAGCTCCACAGAAAGAGGCAGTTGGATCTGCCCTGCGAGAATGTGTTGACTCACTACACCTTGCATCATATGCTCGACATTTGACTGATGCAACACCTGATCTACAACTGACATCTCTGACTGGTTACTTGTGGGAATGATGGCCGCTCCGTCTAGCATGGTGTGAATGACAGCTTGCTGAGCCACGACAGATTCTGCCAGAGACACAACATCGGCAGTTGCCTGAGTAAGACCATCTGGATTTACCATTGGGTCATCAGTGGCATGCACTAGCAGAGACATCGTCTGAACTGGTGTGGTTTCTATGGATACTTCTTTAGCTACGATAGGTTGAGCTAATACCAACTGGTCTTCTGAGGCTTGTGTTACAATGGTATGCTCTCCTTGCGAGTACACAAGGGCTTGGGAAGTAATGGATTGCTCATCTTCACCTCCTAAAGATAATTTAACAAATCAACATCACTTTTTAGTTTCCAGAACAACAACAGGAGGGCAACAATTCCATACGCCTGCCCGACTAGAAGTTTCAGACAAGCATGATACTCTAAATGAATCAAACTAAAACTGTCTTCCAAGATAAATTGGTGTATAGATCAATAACTTAAAGGTAAATTAGCCAACATAAATAGTCTCTAAAGCTGACGTTTCAAGCATTAGTCTTTTTATCAGAACAAATAGCCAACTTACATTCATCTATCAACTGACAGCAGCCACTAAGGGGGTTAATTAATTGAATACCCCCCACATACACAGCACCACAACTTCTTTGGAAACTTATAACTGTCTTCCCTTTCCTACTGGAACACTGAAATCTTACCCAAATTTCTTTGCCTTCTGCTAATCAAAACCAATTTTCTTTTACCCACAACGATAAAAAGACCAGGATTTCATTTAGTTAGAACTGTATTTATTAAACCGTTGGAAGTGCCTGTGAGTAATATCAAGCAAATCCTATGTTCTGATTGGCTACCTGAACAGGTAAGATGGGCCCATCTTGCCTGAAAAAACAATGTGTGGAGCAGAGTGGAGTGGACTTACAAAGTCTTGGACTTTGTCGGTAATGGAAATGCAAAAAGGGTCCTGGCTCTTGAAATGAACAAGTAATTATTGATGCTTAATAAAGCAAAATCATTTTGCTATAAATAAATCCTTTACTGACCAAGCTTGTTCACTCGAGATGGCTGGATATTAGCCCTGTTCTCTTTTTCCATTTCTATGGACCTCATCTTTGTCTTGGTCCATAAAAACAGCAAAAAAAGAACTTGGCCAAAATCCAATCATCTTGAACTCAGGCTTGATCAACAATGCCTTATTATTTGATCAAGTGCCCAACCTCAAGAAGACATCCACTCTGTAAAGCTGTACCTACCCTTAAATAAGCATCTTGACCCTCACAGAGCTTGATGTGTTACAACTTGGTTCTACAAAAAGACTTCACTTGCCTGTGTACATCAAAAAGAACTTTACCTGTATCAACCATATTATCAAGATGCTGAAGCATTTGACCACTTTCTGTATCCTCAACAACTGGTGCAGTAGAACCAATTTTGCCAGATGCCTTCTTACTTCTCTTTTCACCCTTATTTGCACCTGCATGTCTTTTTTGATGAGCATTGCGGCTTCCACTCTGACTAAATGTCTTGCCACAGATTTCACAGACATAAGGTTTCTCTCCAGTGTGTATAAGCTTGTGTTTCCGAAGACTAGAATGTTCAGTGAAAGTGCGACCGCACCCTTCATGAGTACATGTATACGGCCTCTCCCCTGTCAAAGAGTAAAAAAAAAAAAAACAAAACAAAAAAAACAAATCATGATACTAAATGACAGCAACTGCCAAATGGCCTAGCAGGTAGTCTGGAGGTGATTAGACATGACTGATTTGAGTAAGTTGACTGATGAAATAACGAAGATAAAACAAAGGTAATGTATGATGAGCAGCTATAAATTTTAAAGAGGGGATAATCAGTTGATAGATGTCATCTTTAACTGAGAATCCTTCATTTGACATTCGACTTACCTGTGTGTATGCGCATATGATTCTTCAGATTTCCTTGTGTTGTAAATGATTTCATACAGTTTTCCACATTACATGTGTAAGGCCGTTCACCTGTGTGTACTCTCATATGAACATTAAGCCTCTGCAAGACATAAAAGCTTTTGTTACAACCTTCAAAAGAACAGTGATATGCTCTGTCCCCAGTGTGAGTCTTCATGTGATATTTCATGTGTGCTGGCCATGCAAACACGCGGTCACACCCTGGGTGTTGGCACTTGAATGTTCTTTTTCCACTGTGTGTACATTGGTGATATCGTAGGTAGCCAGATGATGTAAAATTCCTACCACATCCTTCGTGTGAACAAGAGTATGGTTTTTCTCCTGTGTGTGTTCGAACATGGTATCTGAGATGCGCTGCAGTATTAAATGTTCTTCCACAGTCAGCATAATCACATTCAAACAGTCGTGAGTGATTTCTAGTTGATAAAAGATAAACTGCATTAAGAACCTATATTTGTGAATAAATTGGAAACATGAGTTTCATTGCTTTCCTCATTGTTTCAAAATAATATATGAAGATTTCAAAACCATTTTTTTAAAATGCTAAAACCTTCTGAAATTTTATATTCTCAAAGAGAGATGACTCAAAGACAAAAAAATTGAGAATATAAATGAAGTAAATAAATAAATGAATTTACTTAAATGGCTATCAGAATTAGAAATTTAATAAAGGATAATTCCCTGGCCCACAGCTCAAGTTGATAGAGAACAAAAGTATTTAAATTGAATTGACAAATGATTAAGAAGGATAGTTAACAAGGGTTCCAATAGGAGCCCACAACAAGCAAAATTTGCTGTCTATGTCAACCGTATCAAATACCGCAGTTCAAAATATATGATTTTCATATATTTATTCTATCTCAAGCAAAATTGCAGCTTATTTTCTCCGAAATTAGCAAAGTGTAAGAGTTAGGATCAACCTTTCATTGGCCTCGTTTGCAATTTTTGCCATAGACTTAACCCTTTAACATTGCTTCGTCTTCTCGGATAAGATGTAAAGCCGTAGGTCCCGTCTCCTGCAGGGTTAGGGGTAGGAGACGTAAATTTCCCATGCACGAGATTACTGTGTAGTGGATGTCCTCCCCGGGGTGAGATGGGTGGGAAGGTGAGATCCCTACATGGACTGAAGTGGCTGCCTGAGGCGCCTGATAAAAATGCTGTTAAGCGCGACTGAATATATCCACAGAGAAGTCTGCGCTATATAAATGTAAAAAAAAAAACATTTCCCAGAGGTGATTAACCACCTCCCAGTTAGCTCAATGGATAGAGTGCTGGACTGATGTGCAGAAGGTCGATGGTTCGAGCCCCTGCCGGACCAACACTCAAGGTCTTGAAATAATTGAGAAGAATATGCTGCCTTTCTATAACATCAAGAAATGGTTTAGATATTCTAGTCTTCTCGGATAGGGACGAATAAATGAAGGTCCCGTCTCCTCGTC